CCAGGAACAAAGAGATGAGTAATTTGCAGCCGCACCCCTTGAAGAAATCAAAGTACAGATAGAGAAACAAACAGGTAAAAATTAAAGAACACCATGAGAAGGAATTTACACAGGGCTTTAGAAGCAGAGGAGGATTCTCAGCTGGGAAATCAGGGGAGACTTCAAAGAAGAAGGTTTAGGGAATGCCTTCCAGGGTGGAAAAGGAGGCAAAAGGCAATTCTGGAGAAAATAACATGGGCAATGACACAGAGGCTGAAAAGAACCCTGGGTGTTTAAGAAATGGATTACAACTCTGGCTGTGGTATAGGGTGTGTACAGTCGTGCTAAGTTTGGACTTTACCTTGTAGTTCCAAAACCCTAGTCCCCCAACTAGAACTAGGCTGATAGTAAAGAGCTATCTGGAGAAGTTGTTAAACATACAGATTTTCCAGGCCCCACTTATGGAGAAATTTTGGTTCAGGAGGAATCTGTTTAAAAAAATTTCCCTACGTGACTCTGGACCACATCCAAGTTTGACAACCACTGTGTGTAGGCAATTAGGATCTATCATAGGGTGCTGGGAAAGAGAATAACATGGTTTGGAAGGAGCTGTTTTGCCAATGCAAAGTTGCATTAGAGCAGGTCAAAACAGGAGATGGAGAGACCTGATAGGAGAGTGTTGTGATAGAACAAATCAGAAATGGTAAGCACCTGTACTGTAACAGAGGCAGTGGGGGTGGAGAGGAGGTGAATGTTCAAAGACATTTCTGAGAAATGTAATCCACAAGATTAGATGATCTGTTTGATGTGGGAAGTAAAGTAGGGTGGATTCTATTTTGTAACGGGCACCCTTGAGAACAGGGTAAGAGGTAAGCAGTAGGCGTGGCTGTGAACAGCATGGTCTTAGATTAAGGTGAGAGACCTGGCTAGAGCTTGTTAGGGGTGGGAGGCCAATGCTTGGGGCTGGATCCCAAGATCCAGAGAACTTCAAATCTGGGAACCTTGAGGTTGGAGACTTGCTGACCACTCCTCACCTGGGTACATTTCCCTGTGGCTTACTGCCAGTAGTCATCTCTCATAGCCCTATCGTTAGATTTTTCTCTCTAGACTGAATGACTCCCTGATTTCAGAACCTATGGTTTATCTGTATGTTCTCAGAGCCTAGCC